GTAGTCGGCGCTGGGTGAGATTCAGTGTCACTCGCACAGTTATTTTTGGTGCAGGTAGACATGCGCAGCGATCGAGGTTTCCGAGTTCCCTTGTAAAGTTTATGTACGTTTTCTGAATATTTATAGGTAAAGAGTTTAGAGAACGACGATCGGTTGTGAGTAGATTATTGCTGGACCACTAATGGTTGCGGAGGTTAAATTAGTAAAGTTAACACCTATTTAATACTTTTTTTTGTAATAGTAGTTTATAATCACCTGTAACGGATCGAAATTCTTTTAAAATTTATCCGCCAATTATTTAGTCGGATATGCTTCTTTTTCTACCTATATGCATTAACAATAAGTCCGTGAATGTATTATTGTACACCATCGCGACGATCGGTCGGCGGAACATCGCAGTCGGCGGTGGCCGTCGCATCACGCGCCATCCGGTCGTTGACGGCCTGCTCCTGGTGCAACCGATAGCCGGCCGCTTTGCCCGCGGCCGCAGCCTTGACGAGCGCTTCCCGCTTCTTCCTCACCACTTCGCGCAATCGCGCGTTCATGTCGTCCAGCGCGACCTCGCCACCGTCGTCGCCGTTCCGCCGCAAATCGTCCGCGAACAGCCCGAGCTCGGCCGCCGCCCTCTCCGACGCGGCCGCCGCTAGATCGTTGTTGGCGACGAGCGCGTTCCGCGTCTCGGCCACCGCGTGCGCCGACAGTCGGGCCACAGCGTCGGCGAGACGCGCGCGCCGTTCGACCTTGGCCCACAGCAGCCGCACAAACGACTCGTCCCTGAGGGCCGCCGATCTCGTCCACGCCGTCAACTGGGCAGTGATTTCGGACGACCTCCGCCGGTAGTACTCTTCGCACATTGTGTTTGTGCAGCTTTTTTACTGTGTCGCCGCTGCGGTGCGCTTGGAAGCTGTACCGAAAGCTCTGGAGATGAGCGGCTGCCGGTGCAGCTCGGTATATGAGATCGGGGGCGTTATATTTGGATGAAAATATAAAGGTTTTTTTTTTTTTTTTTTTTATTAGCTTTTTGTAAATACAATTACACAAAAAAAAAATATAAAGCTTATATTGTGAAAATTGTTTTAACGATACAGTACGTCATATTTTGTTGACATATAACAACGATGTGCGGTTGTCGGAGCGACGGGACGGTAGTACCTATTTACGAGTCGTAAGTGTGGCCAGGTGTAGCGGAAGTGCGCTACGCGTAGCGCTTTTTTTATTGTTATTTATCGTAGCGGCCCTTTCCCGTGAAAAATAAAAACGTAGAGCTATTTCACTTCTTAACATCGAACATTTTTATTTTTATTCTTAGATGCAGTGCATTGGAATTTGTGATTTTTTTTTTTAATTTTGCGATGAGAAAAATTGATAATAAAGTGTATGATAACCATAGATGATATATAATATACTATCTATGTTTATAAACATTAAATTGGTAAATCACGGTTTAAGATAATATAAGGTTCCATGCATAATATGATAATTTACCAACATTTCCCGCATAAATTTAAATAATATTATAATTATTAGGTATTTTTTACAATAAATACAAACATTACAAATACAATTAATCATAGTTCCCAAATATTATAGATTGGCTGTATACTATTAAAATCTTTGGTGGTTTATTGGTACTGAAAATTGATAGTTCCTAAAATAACAATGTACTGTGTCACTGTGATATTTCCAATGGAAATCAATAGACAATTAGACAATATATTTAGCTGTATGTGTATCTGTCATCTGATCCATCTAATATGTCCAAAGTCCATTGCCATGTTCCCATATTCTATAGGTTACTATGAATATTCTTATGAGAACTACTCAATTCTATTTACACTGACTCAGCAAAAAATATTTTGGAAACTTAGAAATTTTATTAGTGTTTAATAATTAAAATATAATAAGTTTCGACATGGACAAATTTTTAAATCAATCAACTTCTTTGGTATGTTTATTTTTTTTACGTTTGTTTATTTATTTTTGATATGTTTTATATACATGTATTTTTAATGACAGGATTTTGAAAGACCTAGTTCTTCAAAACGTCATTGTGATGAAGAAGAAAACGATAAGTACAGAATTTACACCAAAATACAAAAGGCAATACAGAGGTGAATTAACAATGAATGAAAAATCCAAAAATGTACGAAAACAATTATTTTCTGATTCCTGGCTTGAGGATGATCGTTTTAAAGGCTGGTTAAGGGCGATTCCTGATCAACCATCTAAGGCTTCTTGTATAGCCTGCAACCTAATTTTTGGTACTAAAAAGTCTGATATAATAAGACATAGTGAATCACAAAGACATATCAGGTCAGTATCAAGTTTAAAGAATGTAACTAAATTAGAGTTTAGACCTGACTCTGAAATAGTTAAAATGCGTACCCAAGTACAAAAGACAGAACTTATGCTAGCTCATTTTGTAGCATGTCATAATTTGAGCTTCAGAAGTATTGATCACTTATCTCAATTGCCTAGTCTTATAATGAATGATTCAAAAATTTCCAAACAGATTTCTTTAAAGCGTACCAAATGTATTAAATTAATTAAAAATGTTCTTGCAAGTGTTGTTGTAGATAATATAGTGAAAGAAATAGAGAATAAAAAGTTTTCTGTATACCTTGATGAGACAACAGACATTGCCAATATTAAAGTTTTGGCAATATTGGTAAAATATATTTCAAACAATCAAATTCAAACACATTTGCTAGATTTGGTACCTGTTGATGCTAACCATGGAACTGCTAAGGGCCTCTACATGTTGTTTTCCAAGAGTTTAGACAAACTAAAACTAAGTACAGATAACATTATAGGATATTGTGCTGATAATGCATCCGTTATGATGGGTTCCAAAGAGTCCTTTAAAGTTCACTTATTAAATGATAATTCAAATATAATTGTAAATGGATGCATATGCCATTCTTTCCATTTGATAGCTTCTTCAGCAGCTTCTTGTATCCCAAGTAATATTGAAATTTTATTACAAAACATTTCTTCTTATTTTTCTCGAAGTCCAAAAAGACAATCTGTCTTGAAAGAATTGCAAAGGTATTTGAATGAATCTCAATTGAAAATACTAAGTCCAAGTCAAACCAGATGGTTGGCACTAGATAAATGTGTTGAAAGAGTATTAAACCAGTGGAGAATACTTAATGATTTATTTCGATTAGCCTATGTAGAAGAAAAGAATCCAGCTGCAAATGTCATATACCAGGAACTACAAAATCCATACACTAAAGCTTACTTATGTTTTTTGCATTTTATTCTTCCTGTTTTCAATACTTTTAACGCTTTATTTCAGTCTGAAAAACCTCTAGTATTTATTCTTTACGAGGAAAGTGTTAGATTTCTGCGTATAATGTGTTCAAAATTTTTAAAGGCAGAATGTTACAAAAATGATGAATTTGACAAGTTTAAAAATCCTTCAATGATACTTCCCAACAATGATATTGAAATTGGCCATGAAGCTAGAAAAATATTAACCAGTTGTAAAAACGATGCAAATTATAATAAATTTATGAACGTAATTATATTTTTTTACCAAAAAGTAGTTGAAGATAGTTTAAAACGTCTTCCAATACATACTCTGTATAAAGAATTTAGATTTGTTGATCCAAAAATTGTACTTACAAAGTCTAATATCACACTAGATTGCACCATAAAAACATTGAACTACCTAAATAAGAAAGAAGTTATTTTAAATGAATTAGGTCAGATAAAAAATTACTTTTCAGATTCTGAGAAAACTGAATTACCTACTGATGTATTACAGTTTTGGAATTACATATATGAGCTTAAAAACTTTAATGATTGTGGCATTTTTAAGAACATAGCTGAATTAGCATTGAATGTATTGTGTATTTGTGTTTGCCTCATAGTAATGCCAGTGTTGAGAGAATTTTCTCTATGATGGCAGATATAAAGACAAAAAAAAGAAACCAACTTAAACCAAGTACTGTTAAAGCTTTATTAAGAATAAAGTTAGATATGTCTAATAAAAACATGTGTTGCCTTACTACAACTATAACCGAGCAACATCTCAAAAAATTTAACCAACACATGTATAACGACGAAGATGAATCTGATGAAACTGACCATGGATCTGATACTAATTAAACACAAATAAATAATAATAATTGTTTTGTTCGTTTTTTTTATAACTTTTATACCAGAATTGATATGACGTAATTTGTGTTGAATTGATAATTGTTTGACTACTACTTATTTGTATTTGTATTTTAACATTTTAAATTTTATATTATAATAATGACGTGATTTTTACTAATTTATTTCTTTACATGTTACCTATAACTACGATAACAACAAATGATAAGTGATAACAGTGATAATAACCGTGGCGCTATCGTAGCGCTTTTTATTCTCATTAGTAGCGGAATTTGGTTTTTTAAATATGGTCACACTGTTTACGACTTACCGGGTGTAATCAACGTAATGACTAATAAGTACCTACCAATCGATAATGTAAAAAACCAAATAAAAATATTTATATTTATTAGATAAACTTAATTACATATTTTAATCTTCTTCGAAGAAGGCTCATTCTGAATCCATCTATAGAATTTTGGTATACTTTGTTATTTTACTTTTTCAAACGATTGCACGAATATTATTTTAATGAACAGTAATTATAAATAAAAAGGTCGCGAGAAAATGATTTATTCTTTCATTTTTGGATTTATTTATGTACCTACCAATGTATTAGTATTTACGTATAAAGTTATAAAGTGTTTACAAGAGAGATACAATGACAAATAATACTCGTAGAGTCGTAGAGTCGTAAATGTCAGTGTAACGTCTCAGCGTCATCTTAAAAAAAAATAATAAAATTATCTCGGTACTTAAAGTTCATTGTTATAATTTTTCACTGTTGACGCTCCTGATAAATTATCTGTACATATTACATATAAGTTCAATGCCACAAAACATGTTTTCCTCACAAATGCGTATAACTAACGATTTTTTGCTTTGAATGCATCTCCTTTGTAAATTGATTGTAACAAAAAATAATAATGCAAATGTATAAGTTTCAACCAATAAATTATTGAAATACTAAAACGATAAATAAAAATAATGTTTGTAGGTATATCAATGAAAAATTTACTTCCTATATGTTTACACAGAGTTTGGTTCAACTAGTGTTTCCCATCATGAGTTTAGCATACTAATGCAGTGATGTTGAGGTTTTATTTTAAGTTTCGGTTCCTGTACAGTTATACAAATTTGTATTTTGTATTAATCGTATTAACTTATATAGACCATAGAAATAGTTTTTAAATTTTCTCAAAACGTCGGAGGTGTGTGAAAAACTTAAGTTTGAAAATTCGAATCCACATTGATATTCGTCATTAGACTTAGGCTCATTCACTAAATAAATATAATTATCTTAACGATTTCATATTTTGGTAAATCGGAACAAATTATAGTTTCCATTTGTTTCTAAAAATCATACAGCGTTTTTTGGTTTCTGTAAGTAATAGTTTATAGTGGAACTAGCTAGTAACTACCGAAATTGGTAGCAAAAAACGAAATTTGTATGCTAGGTAACCTATAGGATGCTAGGTCTGGCTAAATATTAGAGCTCATGCCACAGTTGCTTTTTTTTTTTAATAATTACGAGGTACATTCGAAATACATGTTATTGTATAGAAGGAAGCGATCCCCGGTTTTAAACAATTTGATTTCACGTTAAGTGTCGTACGTAACGCGTATTGCACGGCGTTAAGTATATGCAATATAGGTACATTACTGCGTCGAAAAACTTAATCGAACAAAATCGAACAGGATCGGGCAATCAGGATCCGACATTCTTTCGTCGAAAATAAAAACACAGAACAGCTCATAAGGGTTTTTGAGTCTACTTTAACGTATATTATTATCTATATGTACATAATAGTTGTTAGAAAATCGTTCAAATGAAGAAAATCACAAGACCGTTAAATATATAACAGTTATTATTATAATACTGGCCACGTTATAATAATATGTTGATGCCTGAAATAGTGAAATGATCAATATTATAATATATATAATAATATATTATTATTACGATGATTATATCTTTGTCTGGATGATTCCCATCACCACCGGATTGTATATATTAATAAGCAATACGATCGTTAGATAAATACATACACGCACACAAATATGGTTCAATTAATATAATTATATTATTATTTATTAGTATAATAAAGTATAAATGTTACAAATATTGTAATCAAATGGGCGATGCTACTTCAATGCTTGATTTTTAGCAGTCGAAAATATTTCGTGTTTTATAATTTATTTCGTATATGAACTATGCACAAGCGCCAAGGGCCTCGTAAATTATATAGACACACAAAACATACACAATACATTATCAGTCATTACTCATTAGAGATTAATCGTATAAATTACGATGTTCTACATAAATACATAAATATACACATATATAATTACGAAGGCATGAGAAAAATTACCTTTAAATTCCTCATATCAGACATACAACGGTTAGAAAACAAAAACGTACACGGACAATAAAAAAAAAAATAATAATTGAATAATGATAATGATGATACTTGACCAGCGACATTAGATGTAATAAAACACTGTCGTCGAGTGGCGTGAGGGTACCCAATTAATATTGTATTATAAAATATCGTGTCACACTGCAGTACACAAACGAACATAAAATTTCACTTGAAAAATCGTATAGTATTGTAATAAGTTGTTAGTGAGTATTACTATGTGTCCATGTCGTACACCAGGGGTATTAATTAATTTTTTTTGAAAGGCTACATGAGGAATCTGGAAATTGTTCGCAGGCCATCAAAATTGCAGAGTCCAGACATCAATAAAAACCAATGAATCAAATGAGATACATTACAACTCTAGGACGTATATTATTGGTTTTTAATTTCTTTTTTTTTGTCTGTAGGCCGAATAAAATGTGTCCTCGGGCCGGCGCCATTTGGTGACCCCTGTTGTACATAAATCACATAAAATATATTATCGTCTTAGTTCAAGATTTTTGAGTTTGTAGTTTTCCTCGTAAAGTTTTCCATGCACGGAAACGACATTGTAACTACTGCAGGTTAGCCGCCACCTAGTGCTGTACCTATCGGCTGAGACATTTATAAGTAACTATGTACTAGTTTGTCTAATTGTCTATATACTTAGTTAAATGACAATAATATGTCAATATTATATCTAATAATATACGATGATATAATTGTTATGTTAGTTAAGCGATCATTATGACAATGATCACGAAAGTATGTGGACAATGAAATACGAGAACGGCAATAGGCACAGCATTGTTACCGCTCTGGTTAGAGATGAGTCCGGAGATGGAAAGTGGTTACCGGAACGGGAGGACGATGACTGAACGGGCAACGGCGGTCGCATCGACTGCAGTCGATTGACGTCGTATCGGTTACCACGACTGGGGTCGTAGTAGCCGTCGTCCTCCTCACCATCCTCACCATTCACATTCACCACCAGCAACAAGCCCTTGTCGACGAACGACTTTTGCACGCCAGCCAAAGGCCGATCAGCGCCGATAAGTACGACATCCGTATCGGCAGACAACACCGCCCGATCTGTCGCGCGGTGTTCGTCGCTGCCCGACACCCAATACGTGTTGTAGTGATCGCTGTCACTTACGGTGCTGCTGCCGCCATCGGCTGTCGTCATCTTTGTCTTCGTCGGGTCCAATTGGACGTTCACCAATTGCGGCCGGGGTCCTTCTTCCTGATCCTCTTGCTCCTCCGGCACCTTCACTCGGACGATTTTTTCGTCGTATCCGGTCGCGTTCACCTGTCCGGGTTCAGTAAGTAGTGTACGTTAGTATGATATAGTTATGTGAGATTATAAATTATACCCACAGTGAACGGGTAGTAAAGAGAGTATAGTTAAGTTCTAAATAGGTATAGTGAATATTTTTACGAATATATAGTAGCTACAAGTTACCCTGAATTTATATCGATAGATATTTTAAACACTTTTGTACATTTATTGGTGGAAAAGCCAGACGCTTATCATTTTAATTGTTATGATATTATTCATACATCTTACAATTTTTTTGAACAAATTAATGTATCCATTACCAATCTATATTAAATTAATTTAAAATACAGTTTACTTTTACCATATTTTGTTCATTTATTTATTTTAACCCAATCAAAAAATAATTTTTGGAGGACAGTAATGGTCATCTTCTCGCGGCGTCCTTTCAGGTAAATAGCATTCATAGAAGTAAAATTATAGTTAAAAGTCTCTGCTGAATGCAATTTACTGCATAGAAATTTGTACTTGAAATGTATTGGGTGCCTATTGTTCCCTTCGTTGATCCCAATTTAAGTTCGTCTATCTCTATTTATATATTATACCGGAGAACCGAACACAATATTAATTTTTTTTATATAAAAATTATTATAGAAAAAAAAGTGATAATATAAATACGATGTTCGTAGTTCTTTAAGAAAACAAGAATAGATACATATGCGAAACTAACAAAACAACTTAGTATGTACATTTTTTCTAGGAAAATAGTGATAAGTTATTAAAAAATTATTGAATAGAACATTAAAGTTAAATTGTTTTTTATTTTTATCAGGGTAGTATAATATTTAGTAGTTGATTTTTGAAAGGGTATCAGGAAAAAAATTATTTATTTTAGTAAATTATATGATAATGTAGGCAGTACCTAAATGGTTGGTCTGCACTTAAAAGAGGCTAAAACTTTCAAGTCATCAATAGTTATTATATTTTAATGTAAAATCTTGATTGAAAAATGTGGACACTATATGTTTAGATAATTAATTGTTTGTCCTTCATATTTCATAGGATTAAATCATGAAGTGCAAGACTATAGTGATTGATGCGAACTTTTTTAAGCTTAAAACTCCTCTCCCCTCCTCATAAAACTATTCTGGAATTTTTTCTTTCCTAAAATACTTACACGCAACTTGTATACTCCAGGAAGTAGTATTTTCCAGTATTCTCCGTGCACAGTCGTGTTGACGTAGTTTTCACGGTCCGTAAGGCTAACGGTCGCGTTTGGTATAGGTTTACCGGTTATTCGGTTGGTGACGATACCTTTAATGCCTCTTTGCGCTTGTTGCACCCATGTCAAAAGTGGCTGAAATACAATTCAAAAGGGCGATTCCTTGTAGTTATTATAAAGACATATTCTTCGTTTCTATTGCTTTCTAAACATATTTTTAGAAAATATTTGAAATAGATAATAAGAATAAATTTACTATTTTTTTTTTACTGAAAATGAACGATTTTTGGTATCATTGATTTTATTTATCATATATTGGATATTGGATATTGGATATTACATATAATTTTATCAATAGTAGTAATTTTCTAATAATTGTATGGAAAGTACCTTTAAATGGTCTTTCCAGTGAGATTCCAAAAATGAAGCCGGTGGGTACTTGCAACAAGACATTTCCAAAGTGATTTCCATACACCCGTGCCATACGTAATTGTAATCTTGCATGCTTCCTGTGAAAAAATTCGTGTAATTGTAATACTTTTTTCATACAATAGTGAGTTGATAGAATAATAACGTTTATGTGTAATATTAATATGATATATATAAAATAATATACAGCGTTATTTGTGGAGACGTGGAGTACCTATAATTTTAATGTCTTAGTTCTCGTAGCTTAATTTATAAGCTACAATTTAAATAATATCTAAAACATATCCCTAACTTACCTATTACTTGATACCAAGCAGCTCCATTTGTTATGCCGTCTTTGAATTTTAAGTTATATTCATCTTCACAACTTAGACCGTTATGCATGGTCGGGTGCAATTCGGCATATTGTTTCGCCAAAAACCGAAATACGTCATCGTCTGGTGTTAAACTCTCCATATTTTTGATATTATGGTTATAACTAGAATCTGTCATTGAAAAATAGTGAAAATAGGTAATTAATTAAAGGTACCTACTTCAACATCGAGGTGTTATGTTATTTACAATAAATGTGTTGCAATTTAATACAAACATAATATGACTTTTAGTTATATTATTTATTATATTAACTAAAACGATGTTATAATATGATGTTATGTTGACTTTCTGGAAAATGTTGAATTAGTAAATTATGGTTGATATTACAAATTGAAAGACGAAATACGAACTCATGTTTTATTATAGAGTTTAGACAACGTCTTAGATTTCACATGGTATCTTTAATATGATATACCTAATAATTAGTCAAACGGCGATATAATATTAATATTTTAAGTTATATAGTATATACTATACACAATAAGTATTTAAAAGTTGTTTGATAACGTAATGTAAGTCTTTATATTGTACACACGACGTTTGAGAACAGTTTATTATTATTGGTCATGATTTGTTTTTTAAAATGTTTTTAAGCGCTTTAACAATACTTTTTATGACGTGAGATTTAACATACATGACCACGTGCATATAATGTGCATTTAAACTTAAAGTGAATTTCATTTTGATATTTTTACCGTTTCGAAATATTTTGTAGAGCTCAAATACATCGGCAATTTGTAATGTTTCGTTTAATTTCTGCAGCTTTCCTGGTACTGTCATAATGAAATAAAAACGACAAAATCCATATAAAATATGCTATAACGCAATTACAATTTGTAAATATATACATTAATACGATATAGCATCACAATAAATGATGTCATACTACTCATACATAAACATTTAAGACTCAATATCAAACTTCGTAAAATTGTTAATATCATTGGATAATATTATTAAGTGTAAATACTAAATACGTATATCATCAAAAGTATTAAGCAGAAACTGAGCTAAGTAATATTAAACGTCATTAAAAAGACTTAGATATTTACAATATAAGAATTATTACTGATAAAGAAACAGCATATAGGTACCTTAAATGATAAACATATCGACCAATATAAATAGATGTACCCAACATATCATATTATTATGACATATATTGTTTTTATATAAATTCTTCGATAGTTTTATACAAACATCTGTATCAAAATTTAAAAGTGACCGATTACAAAATCTGAATTTGTGAAATTTTAACTATAAAATGTTTATTCCTTATTTTTATTTCCACGGTTATGATAATATATTATCAATGTAGTCGAAAATATCGATTGAAAATGACTTATAATTCCTAAAAAGGAATCAATTGTATTTTAAAATTATAGCACCTATTTTTGTACCCACTGGCCACTGCATTGAAATATTGAACTCTGTGAATCATGGTTATACAACATACGAACCTATTGATATTTTTTTGAAAATAATTTTTCACATACATGTAAGTGTTTTAACTTGATATTGAATAATATTTATTACAGATGATCGCCTTAAGAATTAAATATTTTATTGCACATATTTTAATATGTAGATTTTATATTTTACGTATACTCTCAGAATTAGTATATGATTTTCAACCATTCGAATAACATATAGGTAATGCAAGTAAATATAAATAATAACATGATAATATGTATTTAGCAGAGAAAAATTAGTATGATATAGTTACATTACACAGATGTATACACAAGATATCATTTGCGTGTAATATTGCTCACCCGAATCCAATGAACCATCGTAAGGAAAATTGGCCACCAAAGCACCACCATGTAAGCCTAGAGACATGATGAACGGTACAGATTTTAACCACCCCATCATTGCTTTAGTCTCGGGTTGCAGTGGCACTGTGTGTGGATTGAAAAAGTCCGGAAAATTTCGATTCAAATCAAAAGCGTTAGCGTTTTCTCTACATAAAAAATATGATAATATAGTCGTTACCTATTTACAAGATCAATGACTTGTTATGATTCGCCGTGTAAAAAAACAGAAACGATAATAATTAACAACAAAATTATTTTACCTAGAACCCGACCTCTGCATTCCATCGTTAGGGCAAGGCTGAGGCGAGGACCGTTCGAATCCGTCTGGATTCATGCTCGGCAGCAAGTGAATGACGGTAGTTCGCAACATATTATTAATCGCTTTGTTTTTCGAATTATTATCCAATAAGTACTGTAAATGTTGAACATAAATCCATTTTATACTTTAAATTTTTAAATATATAGGTAGATACACTATAATATGTATCGTGGGCACTTGACTCCTCGACTCCCAAGACCAGTAAAAGTAAATTTCGAAATTAAATTAAAATTTATGTTTTAAAAATGTTTTGTATTTAATAATTTAAATATTGCTATTCTAATGTAACAAAATTAATTCAACTGACATTAGTTGTCAATTCGTCTCCATCTCTACTTCTTCAGGTTGTATATGTTTTTTCTCTTCTCATTGCTTTATATACGTATTTTCACTAAATACAAATGTGAATTTTAAGAAAAAATCAGCGGTAATTACTTAAGTTACCTATTCTCAAACTTAAATTGGAGTACTTAAATCATTTTCGTTAAATTATTTGTTCCCCTGTTTTAATTTTAATTTTAATAACGATTATATATTCAAAATGAATGGTCTGTTTACTTAATCAAAAATGTGTTGTAATATAGGTAACTTTTATTATATTAGGCAGATCTCTAGATTTAATACTGATAGTATACAGTAAGCTGATAGACGATAAATCTCTATTTATGTCAATCCAGTCAATGTATAATCTATGGGTTTTATGCAATATGATGTATTATATAAATAATAGCATGACCACCACAATATTTATATTTAAAACTATGAATATATTATTCCATGCGTATGACTTACTTGAATCAGATGTAAAATGATTTCTCTTCCCACGGGCTCATTACCGTGTATGTTGCCAACGATTTTGACGTTTGGTACACCCAGTAGTTCGTTTGCAGTAGTCAACTTGACAGCCCACAGTTCACGTTCTTTATAGGGAGATACCAAAGAAAAATATGTACAATTATATGCAAATATACAATATTATATAATAGTAAAAATGTAAAATGGTTGTCTTCGTCTTACATCAAGTGCAGTATAACTAAATGGTAGTGGCATAAAAGCCGACCTTCGTAGGTACTTAAAATTGTTATTAGTTATTTTATTGTATACACAATTTCTGAATATTATGCTCAGAGCAGACAGACGAAATAATCGACAACTTATTTCTGTGTTTTCATCTAGTTCTTGTCTTAATAATAATAATAGGTTATAAAATATAGTTGACGCTTTATACGTACTTAAAACCGATTTGCCGATCGAATACAGCGACGAGATATTGGGAAACTCGTCGGTTATTTGCATCAAATAATTGGTCATCTCTTTATGGTTATGATATTTATCGAAGCCAATCCTAGAATACGACGCTGAAGACGCGACGAATACGATCGCCAGTACAATTGCGGAACACCGCAGAGCTTTGATGGTGCTCATAGTCGAAATCATGCTGATTGGTGTCGATCGAGGCGTTTTGGACTGACTTCGAAACGCTTTTACGAGTTTATTGATGTCGTGTAAGTCTTCGGAGATTATAATGTGGTTATGCCGAGGTAACGAAGCAATGCGGCTAGCAGAATAACCCTGAACAAAATAAACGCGAAATTTCGTATTATTTCAAACAGTCAAAACAATTTTGTTGGTTCAGAACCTACATATTACACACAGCCGATATGCAAGTTATCATTCCGAGCGTGTTCAACGTAAGATCATGAGTTTTTTTATGTACATTTTAATACAAATATTTTGCCCTCTTAAAATTTATGGCTTAGCTTCTTTTTTCTCAAAACATATTACATCTTAACATTTTAAAATTATGATATAATGAAAATATATAAAAATACATATTAGGTATATTTTAATATAAAATAAAATATTGTTTAAAAAAACTTGCGTTAGTAAAGATGTATATTCAAAAACAATATTAAGTCATGTTATAAATACAAACTTACATTATATTATTATTATATAATATACACAAATGAAAATATTTTAAACATTTTAATTTAATTTAAATTTGTCAATATACAGATGTGGTATAATCTGGACCTTAGCAATACAGATATAAGGAGGGGTCACTTGGTCCCAGTTAATTCCACCCCTCTTCGTAATATACTAATAAACCATGTATATATTCGCATTTATAATATGTATCATAATTTATAAAATATCTAGCAATAATAGTATGATTAATTTAATAATGCGGTGATGCAGGGTAAGTATTTTATTAATAATAAATAAATATACAAAATATTATGTTTGTATAATCACGTTATGTAATATGTACCTATATATTACTTATAAATTATAATATACGTACTAGTCGGCAGTCAATGTATTAGACGAATCGTATTATGCTATAGGCGCCTATGTATATTCTTCATAAGTATATTTGCGTATGCGAGAGGATTGCAGATCGATAACGAAACGTCGATTCGCTTTGGACGCGTTGCGAAACTCTGCGCATGTACTTATTGGTGCATTATAATTTAACCGACACAAGTGGCCGCGTAATCTCTTCACAGTGTAGGTGATAAATTACGATAAATACGACGACAAAAAAATCATCCAAAAACACGACCGTCGATCGACGCTGTACCTGACTATATTATATTGTATTATACATACATTTTAGGTACCTACCTACGCGACTACGCGAGAAATAACGTGCATACCATGTGGTGGGATGGCGCGAATTGCAGTGCTGCTGCGATCTTTATACTACGCAAGTCCCACGTAAAAAATGAATTTTAATGAAACCACCTCAAAGTCGTCGCTGTTATTGGCGAAAAGATTGACACGCACAATAAAAATCTGTCACTTCGGAGCAAATTATTTAACTCGACACGTCAGCCTCGTATCGATTTAGACCAGCACGCGCGACTAATAATACATGTAATAATATCAATAATAACATGTGTATCTAATTTTTATTATTACGCCATTGAAAACCGAAAAAACAAGATAATAAAAAAATCCTCGTATCGCGAGAATTCAACTTGCGATGTAATTTCGGAACGCCATTAATGTCACGTCGATTCCACGAGCGGTATATACATATTATGATGGGTTTTGTATCTTCAGGCCTTCAGCTGTGTGATATTAATATGTCCGTAGCTAATAAACCCCCTTCCAAAAAACCGAAAAACAAACTAAAAATAATATTATTTCAAACAATAATATTATATTATTGTCCTGATATATAAAGAGATTGTATTTTGTGTAAATACTAAATAACCCTTCACACGTGTGGAGTGTGCGATTGTCGAACGGTTGTTGGCCGGAAAAGGATATTATTATGATATTATGTAATATCAGTAGTCATATTATTAAACTACGAACAATTGACCGATTACAACGCGTCAACTGAATATTTCAAGATAAAAACGTATTTTTAATTTGTAGATGGTATATAATACGTATATATAAATGGTAAAAATAAATGTCTATGTCATAACGTAATTGGTTCTTTTTAAAATAGATATTTCAATGTTTCATAATAAAATGTTTGGTCAACTCATTGTACTTGACACTTTGTAAATATTAAAAATATAAAAGATCTGCGTACACAGATTTAAATTTGGTTAATATATTATTTACTAATTATTGTTCATTTGTAATAGTTCAATATATATATTGTTATTTATAGTTTAATAATATATTTTATAGCGTGTAGCCAATATTATAAAAAAAAATTCTGAGAAATTTGGTATGTACCCACCTATTTCAAAATAAAGGTCAAAATATCAATAATCTTTGAAATTTTGAAAACAATTAAATCTGCCAAATGCTCAAATCTGCTTTATTGTTAGAAATAATGGAAAATTTGCAGTTAAACTTTGTATTTAATTTCACAATACTTCACAAAGCAAATTTTTATAGCGCCTAGAATATTCTATACAATCACAAAAAAACGACAACATTAAAATGCAAGAAGTAACATAATAAGTCTATGTAATATTTATATTGTTTATAGAATATCTTTTCAAACCGTTAATCGTAATTTTATTTTATTTTCAAATTCTTATAAGATTTTGATTGAATGTTAGCACGACTGTAAGCTCTAACATTTATTTCATGTGCTCACATCTACTGCAGTATATTATATATATACCTACATAATAATTATCTGAATACGATCACATAACTATTCTTTTTAGTTCTTATATTTTATAACTGATGAGGTCTGAAAAATATGTTTTTGTTGATGTATAATATGTTCTTAACGTGATATTAAAACTATAAATTACATGAAAATATGTTGAAAAGTGGTTTAACGATCAATCCGTGTTCACGAAACTCGGTAAACACATGAAAATATGAAATGATAAGTATTATAGGAATACATAATTTATAACATGTATAGAATAAAGATATATACTAACTAGGACTTGGTCTGTCTTAGGAGTTAATTTGTCTATTTATATCTCTCTACAATTTGAAAAATTATTACGAGAGTGCTCATAAGTTTTCTTACTTTGAGAAAAAAAAAGTTTACTGGGTGTCAAATTAATTTTTTTATGAGTTCAACTTTTTACGATGTTGTATATTCTGCACTCGATTTATCATTCTTATTTATTCGTTCTTATTTTCTTGTAATTCAAAATCAAATAATGGTAGTTACTTGATATTTTGGCGGAATTCTTATGCGAGAATTTTCCATACACTTTCATGATTCATGACTATTGTTGACTTTTTAAGTTATTTATAAATTATAAGGCGATCTCACACGTTGCTCCGTGATTGGTTGAATCTTGTGATTACCTAGCGGTTAACCATAGTGGTTTTAACTAAATACCATGCTATATTGTAGATACCAGAAAGCAGAATCTAATCCTACTTAAGTCAAAAGTTTAATTAAGTTAAGTTTACAATTATTACGTAGTTACTGGTTATCACGATTTAAGATTTAAGATATAAATTATAATACAATACTAACTGCCAATGAAACTCGCTGTCGTGAAACTCGGGGGCTTGTGAGACTCGGTGATGCTGACTACAATGTCTTTGAAATTACTTATAGAAGTCTCTCCCGTTGACGTCATGGGTGTTAAAAAACAAAAATTTAGGAGGTGATAAGGATTTTTGATAAGTCTTGGAGGTCTCGTTTCGAGCGCGGGAATGTTTGAAATTCCAGTTTCAGTGTCTAGAAATCTCACTTCACCCACGAAAATCGGCAATTGAATAATACGGTTCCCCGTCGTATGTCCAGTGCTTTTTCGTATGTAAAAAAATGAAAATTCGAAATCTGTGTTGGAATGACTAGCAAGTCCGTCGCCTCAAGCGAAAATCGTTTAACATTCAAGTTAGCTATCTAGGTAAGCAATCCGACTTCGTCGGATCGCAGACAATGTCTTACAGCTAATCAGGTAAGCGGTGGATTGAAGACCAGCCGTTCGGCATTTATGAGTGTCTATCCAGAGCTTATTATTTTTTTTTTGTTTTAGGAAAATATTGGACACATAATTGGAAAAGACCCAATAATCTTTGACGATATATTTTTAGATGGAAAAAAAATATATAATAATTACTAACCCAAGGTATGTGGAGATTGTTGAGATCTTGTGTTGAAATCTATAATTTTTATAAAAAAAAGATTAAAGATACATTTGCATGGTTTTTTTTTATAACTGTTTTGAATTAAATGTTCACAAAATTCATCAGTCGTGAGAATTTTCAAATTATTTTGTAGTTAAAAAAATGATTAAATGTTCAATTTTCATAGATAAGGATTGATAAATTAAAACAAGGATTCTACTGTGCCCCCCCCCCCACCATACACAATTCCTAGCTACACATAAAAACTTCTAATACTATTTATTTCGTCATTAAAAACGCATTTACCATACCTAGCATCCACTTCTTACTCGAATGTAATATTGTTTAGAAATTGCTATGGAGTGGAGAAAACCGTAGAGCACATACTGTAGTCATTAATCGTTATGTTGCCGGTATAGGCGGTGGAACACATACAACAAGACAACAAAGTCAGCCACAGATAAATATTCCAATGATCAGATATTCGTGACAGTGATGATAATATGAAATGACCCATCAATGGTGGCCATTAAAATAATATTATTATTTATCACCAATGTTACATACTTACCTAGGTTATGTACAAGATAGTTTTTGTAATAGGGTTCCAAAATGTAATCAGGGTAATTTTTTTTCATCATTTGCCCATTTTTTCTTCATTATAGTAAATACGTGTATTTGATGTATACATGAGGATGAAGGGTTATTTTATGTTTGATATTTTAATGAATTAAAGAAATTCAAAGCTGAAAATAGTTTTTGTCATGTACATACTAACAATATACATACATTATCTCCATAGATATTATGTTAGGTATACACATTAGGGTTTTCAATGTTTTCATAATATATTTTAAGTTTTAGACATTGAGTATGAATCATGTACAATTTTGTCAAAAGGGGGCAAAAATATATCCTTAAATATGATTGCTCTCAGATTTCGATGAGGTAATAGGTAAATTCTGGACACCCTTACTGGTTATTCTTCTATAAGAAATTCCTAAATATTACGATGTGCTTAACTACATTAATAATAGTAGTAATAATTAATAAATTATATAAGTGATTTTTACGGACACATGAACAAAAAATATGAATGCAATATTGTAGAATGCAGATTTTAGTAAAAAATTTGATTAACATTTAGTTGATCGTGGATTGAACATTTTTATTAAAATTAGTCTACAATGTTAGTAGTAAGTGTTTACTGTTAAGTTGGCAGTTGAAACTTGAAATTATTAGTTGTAAGAATACAATTTCTACCTTTGATGTTTTTATGATTTGTTTTGACATTTATATGTACCTAATATTTAATATTAAATGATTTTCATCACCCAATTAAGTTAATTTTTTTAATGGTATAGAGGAACAGAAACACAAAAATACATATACAAATATTAAATCTAAAAATAGAAATACGGAAAGAATAAATAGACATTTTCAACACATAAAATTGTGTATTGCGTAAGAATTATCATAATTTGATATTTGGCGCATACAATACAATATAATATAGTACATAAAAAAAGTTAAAACCAACTTTGGGTTTTCATAAAAATTAACAGTTCTTAATAAGTAACTTAACGAAACAATAATTCAACAAAATCAATATGTGATAACTAATAAAGAGAACAATAAACAAAAAAAAAACAAATTAAATAGGATAATAAAGATGAGTCTACATAAGCGAAACAATATCATAAGGAACAGTAATTAACCACATTGAATATTACAATAAAGGATAACAATAAAAGTTTAGATTTCTCTATTTACAAATTGTGTTTTACAGTAGAGAAATACACAGTTAATAATATTATGCACACACATGGGAATTTTTTTAAACATTTAAATATTTAGATAAAGTTTTTTTTTTTTTTAAGTGACTATGCATTTATTATTAAAGAAGTCATTTTAGTATGTTGTAAAACAAGTTTTTTTTTACATGGAAAAACCATTGAAATAGAAATATTACATTTAACAGAATATTTATTGCTTAAGCCTATAAAACGTTAATTATAATAACTGATTGTATTATAATAGTTTTATCATATTATAATATTATAGTTAAATAAGTACAAATTTCTACTTAGATTTGGTCAATTAATTCCAAACGCAAAATTATTATTTAAAACCGTACATAAACTAATTTACAATTTAGTTAATATTAATACAAGTATTTACGTTTATATATAATATATGTCCAAAAAGTTTAACAATGCAATATTAACTATTAATGATGCTTGGCAAATGAAGCTATATAGTCCATTTGCTAATTATTGATTGTAGTAGGTGTTGGCATTGTTCTAAATGACTGTTGGTGGCAACACATTGTAGTCATGTATGGATGATTTAACTGTTTCATAGACAGGACGGTTGTTGTCTGCAGTGGACGAGGACAAATTGTTATAGGATACATATTCGGAATGTGGGTTATTGCACAATGTCTGTAACTTGGTCAGATAACTGTCAAAGTGTTCTTGGGTCTTTTCGGAACCAGATTGACCATCAGGACATCTCACTTGTTCCAAAAATGACATCATATTGTTCCTTAGGTTTTCATAGTACCCATTCAAATGGGAATTTGGTCGTTGAGATAAGATTTGTGTTTCCTGTAAACATGCAAAAATATCAGGTTGTTACAATTACTTAATGTTTAACTTGGTAAAATTGTGGAATATTGCTGTAGTTTGACTATTTTATCATTAGAGCATCTTTTTGGAGTGTTTTTTTTTTGTTTGGAATGTTTGACACTACCTTGGGCCTACCTTATCCCCGTGTCGAAGATGAGCCTCCATAGCATTGATGTCTGTCTTCAATCTCAACATTTGGGATTCGACGCGTGCGTTTTCTCTCTGCAATTCTGTTATTTCAGCATCCAAAGTAAATAGATCTTCACCACCGTTCCCCATATTACAATCTAAAAACCACAACTTTTTTACCTTTTCTCCTCCTCTACATTTGACTTTTTCAAAAATTGTAAAAATCCCACAATTTTACCAGACAAAGATAATCTTAATACTATTCTCACCATTATGAAGTTGTTTCGAGCCATACATATGATGATACAATGAATCAGCAGCATTTGTCGGTATTGGTTTCTTTCCAGATGCTAAATTTGGTGCCGACGGATGGCAAACACTGAGGGTCGGTGCACCGCGGTGAAGAAATGGACTGGGGTTTAAATGAGATGGTTCACAGCCAGTTTGGTCGGATTGCTGGTGATGGTGTTGTTGTTGTTGCAGTTTTGCAATATTGGCTTTATGTTGTTCAACAGTTCCCCCACTTTCGAGTACACGCATTTTGTTGCGATTGGCAATTGGACATCCGGATGCACTAATATTAAATATTATGAGATAAATATGTATAATGTAATTACAGTAATATTTGAGCTTTAAAAAATTAATTTACCTTCTGTGTGATAAAAATTTGCCCGTAGCATGTCCAGATCCATCACATCCAGGTATGGGGCACCTATAATAATTTAATATTAAATATATTATTAGTTATAACCAGTTAGTTAAATTATTAAGTAGTGTCATTATTAACCTTAGCGGCTCAGAATCTTGACCGTCTCGAGGTTTACTCTTTGGCTTATTGGCTCGAGGACATCCAGATAAGGATCTATGAGAAGAATAATTTCCTGTAACATGACCAGACCCATCACAGCCCGGAGTTGGACATTTTAGTTCTTGTGAATGAGTTGAAGAGATTCCAGGTTGTGAAGAAGAACGATCACTTCTTGCGCAAACAGAAATACTAAAATAAAAATAATACTATTTAAATATAGTTGAAAAATAAAATGCTTATTCAAGGATTAAATTTTAAACATTTGTTTTTGTTTACCTAAGTTTTGAAAATAAACACATGGATGTACGACGTACCTACAAATCTGGTAGTGTTTTATTCAGGTGTTGTATGATTTTTAAAAAAAATATTATATATTATATAAATATTATTATAAATTCTTACATTAAAATATTATCATCAAATTAAAACCTCTATTAAACTACGGATAGAGGGAGATACCTTAATATAACTAAATTATCTACTAACAAGTTAAGAATACAAAATTAAGCTGATAGGTACCTAGTTGATTAGAATATTTAATCGGAACTGAAATCGGTATTAAATATAATTTCTTCTTCTTCCTCTTCCTCTTCTTTTTTTTCTTCAATTTCTTTATCGTCTATATCTTTTGTCTCTGTACAGGTTGGTTTAAATCTGAGTGAAAAACATTCCTGTAAATATGATTTTCTTCTGGACTCTTCGTTAATGCCCAAACAAGATGCGATGAAATTATCAATCATTTCAGACGTACGGTGTGGGTGGTTTAACAGTAGTACGAAACATGATCGGACCATGAACACAATGTAATCGTTTGCAATGTTGGGTGATTTTAGGGCCACCAACAACAATTCTTTGTAGCTATTCCAGTCACCCGCCAACAGACAGTGTCGCATCTGGTTAAATACCGGTCTCAAACTGTTCCCTCTTAAATGCTTGAATCTAGGGCGAGCACTAAAAAGTGACAAATGCAGTTTGTTGGTACACAGTGAGTTTGCGACCATCGATCTATGGTCATCCTGATAAGTGTCTTTAATATTTGCCATTCTGCCAACTCGTTCGTCTTGTTGGCCCATAATCATTTCGATCGCTTGAAGTACACCACTTTTCGGTAAAACAACGGGGGACAATCTTCTTTCGGCAGACGAGGACTCCGACCGCTCACCATCTGTCTGTTCCATTTTCGAAATGTTACCGAACGGTCGTTGGATTCAATAGGTACTCGAAATGTGGTCAAAAGCTGTGAAATGGAGAAGTCAACCGAAATACGAATATACTTTAGAAGCGATAATAAAAATTTAACTAATGTGAAACACAAGGCAGCTCGAGTTTACGTATCCGGTATGATCACCACTACCGGGCATAAGACACTATTTTCTAAATATTATTTATTAACAAAAAACTTTAAGTAAAACCAATTTACAGTTTTGTATAGAATATTGAGTTTGAATGTTTGAATGTTCACATCTCACATGTTGATGTTTTCAGTTTTCACATTTTACTGTTCGTTTTTCGTTGATAGTGATGAATGATGATAACGTTATCAAACAGCATGACCTCAGGCAAGAAAATATTTTGCCGTAGTGCGCCAAAGCGGGATTTTTAAAACGAATCTAAATACTAACAAACCCTTCCTCCGCGAGTAGTTTTGTTGTCGATAATTTTACCAATATTATAATATATATATGTATCGAATTTCACTGATTCAATTGTAGTCGTTGATGTGTCTGATGAGCGGTTTCTCTTTTTATCATAACAACGCGGGGCGATTAGCATTTCGTCATAAGAACTCCCAAATTTTAATTTTTTTTTAGTAGTTATTTTTAGTTGAAAAGTAAAAATAATACTTTTTACATTATTGTGAGCAAAAACAATTACAAAGTTATATTAATTATTATTAAAAAACATTAAAAAAATAATAGTGTCATCATAATAAAAGTGTCTACTTTTCAAAGTCGTAACCAGTAATAAATGACAATTTTTGAACACAAGCGGCAAGCATAGTTGCTTACAGTCTTATAATTTATAAATATATTACTATAATAAACTGCGCTCAGAACTTGACGCATTAAAAACATTAAAAAATGTACTTAAATTGTTGAAATATGCTGTTAAGTATGATCTGTGGACGAAATTTGGCACTTAAAAAGTTGAAATATTTATAGTTTATTTTTTCCTTCTTAAACTGTATATGTATTTGTATGTTGTATCATAGTGAGAATAATCAGTAAAATAATTAATGATATCCAAAACGAATATGAACGTCTAATATAGCCTAAATGCATTGACTCCGTAAAGATTAAGGAAAAATGATTTTTAAATAAATACCATAAAAGTAGACAGTTATTATCTACAGAGCTAAAAATACTACATAAATATCGTATGGTATTAATGGCTGTCTTATGCAAAGGATATAAGCACTATATTCTTATTATTGAAATTATATTTTTATACTAATTTAACAATATAGAACAATAATATAAATAGATAAGTATAGAAATAGGTAACTATGTAAAATTGTAAAGCATGTTATAAAAACGATCAAAAGTTTTAAATTTGAGTTTATCAGAACGCTCAAATAAATTGTAAAAAAACACATTTTAGTACTGGGTTGGAATATTTTAAATTTCAAAACTAGAGATTAGGCAACACATTTATATCGAATCAGATTTCTTCTACGGCTGACAATGTATATGCGCATAATGCATGCATGAAATCCCAAGCGTTTAATTAATAACGTAAAAATAAAATAAATGATCTGTGAGTTTTTCAACTCGATGAAAATAATTTTAATTTATTAAGATATTTAAAAAAAAACATCGTCTCACAGCAGTGGGATATAGAACTTATGAAACTCACTGCATACAATATTGCAGAAGGTATTTTCTAAAATAGTTACTGTCATTTTCATTCCTATCGAATAATAAACAAATATTATTGTTCGGTAATAAGCATTACAGTTTTAAAGTCGAGGGGACTAATCCCGGCTATGTTTCTCCCAAAATATACCTTAACCTATATCTCATGCGCATTTTACGTTTGAATCGACTTTCCTAGTAATCGGATATAACTTTCCGAAAACATTTTGAATTCGTCATGAAGTTTACTCGTAAACAAATTTTCCCCTGTTTTGATTTTGAACCCTTGTGTAAAATTAATTTCAAAATGCAAGATGGTCGTTTTCAAACACACTTCATATAACATGTTTTAAAGACGTAAAAAAAAAAAAATATATATCAACATTCGCGCATAGCGGGTAACCACGAAGTGCTCGTGAACACCAGAGTGCTCCTCTGTTTTTTAGCCAATGATTCCAATACAACAGTGTTTGCAGGTGTAATACATCGTTGTAGGTACTTAAAATTTAAATAATAACAATATCAATGGACACGTACCTGTCGTCTTTGGACGAGACTGAGAGTTTGTCTTGCTGCGGCGGTGGCATACTGTAACACGGATTCTGCGAAAACCCGTTGGGCGGCGCGCCTTGTTGGTAGGGGCCGGCCGAGTAGCCGCACGAGTACGCCGAAGTGCTGTACGGCGTCGAGTACCCGTTCGCGTACTCTGGCATCGGATATCCGGGATGTGGGCTCAACGAGGTGTAACCTATACGGCGGAAGGCAAGAAAATGTATTACGAGTACGTCACGGCGCAATGTACACGGGCAATAACAGTGTGCAGAACAGCGATATTGTGTCGTCTTCGTTTGATTCCCTCACAGATCTTAACTACCCTTGATTAAGAAACGTGTGTAATGCATGTCAATATAGGTGTCTCATGTCAATACACCGAGAGCGAGCAAGTGAGTATATTTATTTTGTAACTGTTCAAAAATAAAAATAACATATGAAATTCTGAACGTTTGAAAAGTCCTAAGAACGCCTGTACCACTGAAACGACGAACTGGCTGGTCTATTTTTATTCTCCAGAAGTGCCCAAAAGTTTTGAGGGTGAGCCGAATACCAATCGATTGTAAAATATATTATTATGTGTTAGGTACTTTAGAGTGGTAATTTTTCTCAGTAGAATTCTTAAAGTAAGCGTAAAGAAAAAACTACCCACTTGACTACGAATTTGTCCGATAGTGGGCTACATTTGAAAATTTGATTTCACAGTAATTTAGTCATCGGAAGATAAACATAGCTCTGTGAGTGGTGAGTTGGTAATTATTAAGGAATGATGGATATAATATGACGATGGAAGAGTAACTCTAGACAATCTTTTTCACATAATTATTGTTTTATATGTGGAGATGAGAGTAGGACGTTTGCGCATCGCTATAATTGTTACGAACTATATTTTTCCATACGCTTTTCGCGCAAAACTATAACTATAAAAAATATTGAATATAAAGTGATTGTTTAAGTTCGAAAAGATTAGTTAATCGGTAATTATTTACATAAATAAAAAAATAGTAAATTGTTATGTAAAAAAATATTAAAATATAGTATGATAATTATTGTTATCTTGGTTTAACTAATTTATTGTAAAATGGTAATTCGCAAAAAAATACAAATTATAGCTTACCGTTGACGTCCCTATAGTGGTCCATGTAATGGGAACCTCCGCTCTCGGGTGTCGACTCCCTGCTGTATCCGTTAGGCGCTCCGCCAGGAAACACAAGCCTGCCAGGTGCCCTATAACGGGGACAAATGATTGTAAAGGTCTCGGGAAAAGGCCTCTAAAGGCTAATCGTAAACGACACCGTCGTACCTGTTGACGCTGAGGTCCAAAGTCTGACCTTGTGGGCTTGGAGCCTGGTTGACCTGCGGACTGGACGTCGACGTGTTCGGGCTGGTGCGGTGTCCGGCGGTTCCAGCGTAATGGTGTGGGCTCAGGCTGTTTGAATACGTGACAGTCTGCGTGTTTAAGAAAAATAACAGTTAGATCACAGGGCGTAAAGCATATTATTATTATATCAGTTACCATCGGTTGACATTTCTGTAGCGTTTTATAATATAATACATAAGTGGGTATAGGTAGCAGGCGCGCACCCAGAATTTTTGCTTGGGGGGGGCTTAATAATTTTTCTTTTCCCTTACACACAAGTAAACAATTAAAACTAATTTTTAAATAACCACTTTTGTTTATTATTATCATATGACATATGTTATATTATTATGTATTTAATATTTATATAATTATATTTATAACTAAATATTATGACAAATAAATTTAAAATTTAAGTTTCCTGGGTCCCTTTTCAGAAAGAATTTTTAATACTTCGGATTCTTTAATTTGTATTTCTCGATGTATGTGAAGATTTGCCAGACCATTTAAACGTGACTGTCCCATTGTGTTCCGGAGATAAGTTTTAATTCGCCGTAGTGTGGAAAACGACCTCTTAGCCGTACTTGTACTTACTGGTAACGTTGCAAATATTTTCAAAAGTATAAATACTGATTCAAATATTTTAATATCACATAAATTTAAACAATCAATTGCGTTTAGTGGTAAACTATAACCACAGTTTTTAAATTTTTCATTCCACAATTCGAATTCGGCCTTAGCGACAGAAAAACTAATTTGTTGCATATCTTTTTCGTAAAAGTCAAAAAGATTTTTAAAACTTGAAATTTGTTCATCTGTTGGATTACGTCAGGTTGGTAAAAGACACTTATAACTTGTTAGGAGATTTTTATGTTTTAAAAATCGATCAGAAAGACTATTAAGAAATGAATCGACCCATGGAATAAAAATTGAACGTCTATAGTATTCTTCAATATTTTCAGATGGTGTATTACATCGCTTAGTTTGGTGTTTTGTTAGTCTAGGAATAGACATAGTCAAGTCTAAATTAGAGGCAACTTCTTATGCTTATAAAAATAATTGTTTAAATTCATTGTCGGCATTACTTCTAAGTCGTCGGAGAATAGACACTACACTTTCAACTTGGTTAACTGCAGTTGATAGATCTATATCTGTCGTTTGAAGTATTTTACTTATTGGTAAAGTATAAGCTAATAATTTTTCTGAACAAAGTAATGAAATAATAAATGTAGATTGACGAATACCATTTAAAAGTAAAAATGCACCTGATGAAGAGTCTTTACAGTTCCACGATTGAATTTCTTCTAACGCCGCCACTACAGGTAATAAAAGTTGATTAAATACTATTATTGAATCGTGTCGTTCAACCCATCTAGTTGGACATAGTTGAACAAGTTTAGTTTTATTAATATCAGGAACTAAGAGTTGAATTTGATTTTTTAAAATAATTTGACGTTTTGGTGTATTAAAAAACGTGTATACTTTTTCTATAACACCAAAACTATTCCTAATAGGTACTACATCAACAGCATTAGATAAAGCCAAATTTAAGCTGTGTGAAACACAATGTACATAGAGTGCAGTTGGATATTTTTCTATTATACGCGCTTGGACACCTTTTAGGTAGGCAAAGACAGTGAATCTATAATATCGTAATATCGTTTTCCCCACATCACCAGCTTGTAGATAACTACCAACTACCGAGGTACAGATTATATACATAATACCTTTTTTTTCCCCGTTATAACCGACGACGCGGGATCTGTTTTCGCATTGCTTCCGTGGCGCCGCCATCGTTTATTGATAATATCAAGTTTTATTACATACGTGGCGTGGGGGGGGGGGGTAGACCTGTAGGTGCAGTTGTTTGTAAGTTTAAAAGCATTTAATTTGTTTTTGATCACACTAATGTAAGAAATAATATGCACATATTTTTGTGTGATAGCAACTGTTACGTGGATATCCGTTGCGAGATTTATTTTTCGGTCACCAGAGAACACAATGACACGGAGGTCTTATTAGCAATGCTAAAGTCAATGACTGCAGTGCGTCTTACAAGTGTTTTGTGGAAAAAAAAGGTATACAATTGTTACTAAATGTATAAGCCCGACCTTCCCACAAAAACGCGTATTTAATAAGTCATAGGACACGATGGACGATGGTTAATCGAGACTATATATAAAAATGTATAATCGTACCTGTGGACTGGTTGAAGTCACGCTGGACGTGGAAAGGTCCATGACCGATACTGTGCCTGGTGACCGGGTTAGCGGTAAGGGCAACGGTAGCGGAAGTGGCTTCATCCCGGTACTCGCAGCAGCGATGCACTTCACCGACAGATTGATCGCTGCTGCTGTGGGAAAACCCGATTGAATTACCGGACCGCCGCCGGTAGACGTAGGAGGATTCGCTCCTTCGTACTGGTATAGCGGCCTGCGAAGAAAAAACGAAACAAAAACACCATTTATAAAAATCATTATGTAAGTAAAGTATTAGTTTATTAATTTAGAGCTCAGATTTCGTAGCAACATAAATCGTTAAATAGTGTTCATTTAATTATTAAATTCGAAGGATACAAAAAAAAAATTATCCTTTTTCAAAAGTCAAAACGTACACTTTGATTAACTTAAATAAAATAGTTATTGACGATGGTTTCATCAGCCATCTATTAATAATTACAATTTTGCCTAGATAACAATCAAAATAATTTAACGACGAAACATCAACATTTCACCTATTTCTAACCATAATCTTTAGTTGATAACCTACTTTAAACAATACCTACAATTAACGGAATATAATATGACATTTTTGTGAACATTAGAATTATATTATGCGTACAAGCACATTTAAAGGACAAAAACCCCTTTAATGTCCGACGAACTGTCCGAATTTCTCAAAGTTCTTGTAGTTTGAGCTTTCGATCATGTCGAAAACCCATAATTCCTTTAAAATATCGTACGGGGTACTTATATGTGCCATATCGTTGAATAAATATTTATGGAGTGGACCGCAACGGTCCCTTACCTGGGATAGAGTGGCGGTTCGATGGCGTCGTCCATCTGTACGGGCTGTTCAGGTTTCATGATCATCTGGTGCGGTTGGTACATGGCAGCGGCGGCGGCGTCCCCGTATTCGGACGGGTACCGTTGGCACGACTGATCGGATTCGTAGCGGTCGGCATACGCTGCAGCGGCTGCGGCCACGGCCGCGTTAAGCGGATTTGGATACGATGGTGGCCGGACGTGATCGTATGACGAACGGGCCGGGACTTCGGTGGAATACGACGGCGACGGCCGGTTGATGTTGGTTAGCGCGTAGTTGCGGTCAGCGGCCGCGGCCACCGACCTATTGTACATGTCTTGCTGTTGGCCGCCACTGCTGCCATTTATCTGCTGCGGTTCGTACGGTCTATGCTGTAGTCTGGTGTTGTTGTCCATCATCATGTACGATCCGGACGAACCGTGTTGTTGTTGACTCGACATACCACCGTTGCCGTGTTGTTGGATTTGTTGTTGTTGTTGCTGCTGTTGCTGTTGTTGTTGCTGTTGCTGTTGCTGCTGCTGCTGCTGTTGTTGCTGCTGCTGCTGTTGTTGTTGTTGCTGTTGTTGTTGTTGTTGTTGCTGTTGATGGTGGTTCATTGCGTCCATGCTACCAGACATGGACGATGAGTTGGAATCGTGACAGTGGTCGTACGACGACATGGTCATCGGGGTGCGTCGGCTGCACGGAGGCGTCACCGAGCGACACGAACCGGTCGAGTGCATTTCCGACTTAATGGTCATGGCATCGTCTTGCGTTCCCGACGCGGGTCCTTCGCTGCAGCATCCCATCTCGGACTTGAGGTGCAGTTGTTTCGCGTCCGGCTTTTCATCGTCCATGTCCGGCCCACCGGCGTCCATGTCCTTGTGTTGCAACATCTTGGACGGTTTAACCGTCAGCTTGGGGCCCACCGCCGCCGGGCCGTAGTACGCCGCTGCCGCCGTCAAGTATTCCGGTGACCGGCCCGTCGGACCTCCGCCGCAGTGGTCGCCGTAGTGACCGCCCATCTGCTGGTACGCGTCCTTATTGATGTTGCCCATGTGCTTGTACTGCTGCTGATCGAGTCCGCCGTTGTTGCACACTGGAAATTGACGGGAAAAAAAGGAAATGACGCGTTGTTCTCGGCAATAATCCGGACCGAGTTTTGCTGAGAGTAGATCGCTATTACAGGTTGTCTAGGATTTTTGTCGGGTATCGGGCGGGAGTCGGGTGGGTGTTGGTGTGTGGAAAGCACCCACATAGACATATTAATATATCAATATATGGATTGCGTGTCCCCCATAACACCCTGCGACTATATGAGTTTCCAAGTGCCAACGTTGTTAGAAAGATATAGTTAACATATTCTGTGCGGCTGTGCATATGGCGATGGAACCCATCTGTGGGGTGACAATCGAGAATATTTTTTCTCCTTTTTTTCAGTTATTATTGAATTGAATAATGTAAAATTATGTCTGTTCTATGAGCGTTTAAGACCAATTGAAATGGTTTAGTTATGTATTTATATTATTTAATTCAATTTCATCATCAATCATAATAACTTGGAAAAAATATTGAGTAATTGGTACCTTTTGCTTCATTTTTTTTAGCACTGTTTAGTATGGAAATACCTACTTAATTTTGACATTATTTAAAATAGTTACTTTTACCTTTGGAAATAGTGAGTTTTGACGTCATAAATTAATTTAAAAAAGGAAATCTGACTTAGGACAAAATTTGTTTGGCAGAGTTCGATTCCCCCCACTTTTCTCTATTAGAATCAGTAAATAAATGCATTTAGTTAATTTTGGAAGCAGTATTTTTCTGATTGTTGCACTACAAATAATGTAGGAAATTATGTACTTACTATTTATTTATTAATTTTTTTATTTTATATGTTATATTTTTCTAAAAATGTTGCTATCCAGGTAAGTTTTAGGACTAAGATGTATGCTATATTTCTCTATCAATGTTGGCCCTAGGACCTATTTTTTTCTCTCCTTGTCACTGCTATCAGTCCATTTTTTTATAGGTCAATGGGAGTACCTGTAAACGAGGCGATGTGTTGTTGTGACAGTTTTTTCTGCCGTTCTCGCAACGCCTGTTTGTTGGCCGCCGCTATTGGACAGCCCGACAGGCTCCTATGCGTGTTTCGGTTCGAGCTCACGTGTCCCCGGCCATTACATCCGGGAGTAGGACACTTTAGGATCGTTTCGTGCAAGGCCAGAACTGGTCAAGACAATATATACACATATATATTTATTTATTACATTGGTATAGATTTCGCAACATGCAACATTAAATACACACGAACAAACAGCAAAAAGTTTTTTTCTTAAATGGTCATAGTTACAGGTAGTTATAGTAAGTAAATTATCAAAAAAAAAATTAATTCGGTGGAAAAGGATCAAGAATAGGGGTAGAGAGAGTAATGTGAAGTCGCCGGGGTGGATATCATGCAATTGTTGCATATGATATAGAAAAATATACATTACATTATTGTCATAATATTACAATAATCATCAATACAGGCAATAAGTATGTATAGGTTACAAAAGAAAAAGAAACAAATCTCAATAATAATATTTATAACAAGTACGATGCTGTTTGTGTTTTTATCGGTGTAGCAGCTATTTGCAGTAAAATCTATGTAATAACTATATAATATATATGTGTATATTGTTGCCCGTGACGGATAATATATGCGTTGACGTTGGACAACGAGAGGGTAGTTGTAGTGGTGCAATTTATCAGCTCTCTACCCCCAGCAAAAATCCGATGTGTCGACGGATTGGTTTTGTTCGTTGCATATACAATGCGCTTTCAAATAATAATTATTATATTGTCGATAGAAAAAAAAAATGATGACTTAAGTATATTATGTTAGGTTTTGCGATACTCACTTTCTGGCGTCACCTTGTCCTTGCGGGGACATCCCGACATGCTGCATGTACGAGGAGAAAAATACATACAATGACCTACTGTATATTGATATAAACCCGAAATCGTAGATTAAGAACAATAAATTACCTTCTGTGGTGTGAGTACAGTCCAGTGATGTGTCCTTGACCGGTGCATCCGGGAGTTGGACATTTAGTTCCATCTGAAAAGCAAAATATTAAGTTACTAGTTTGTAGTAATTCGTTCCGAATGCATTTCCTTTAAGCTTATAATATTTATTATTTTGTTAGGGGAGCTCTCGTCTTTTGTTTCTCGTCTGAAACAAAAGAATAAGAGATGGGATTTTTTTTCGGCGTTGGCGATCACAAAAGGCGCCGACTGTGCTGAATGGGTAGATAAGAAACATTGATTCCGGGAGCTGCTCCCGGCAAGGGTGTTTGGTTTGTTTTTATTTTATTTTGTTTTACGAGATATTATTTATAATTCCCTTGTTTTTAATTAAAAATGCATCGTTTTAACGCTCTGTCGCCGTCTAAAAAAAATTATAATTAAAAAATATACACATCGATGGCCATATTCCAAGTGGCGATAAAAGGAGAAAACTTCATGGATAGATAAGCAATAATATCGAGGATGGAAATAAGATTTAGTAAATAAATTATATAATTATTATATTGATCTGATATCTAAATGGATTACGGTAAATTTAAATGCAATTTATAACGGACTGATACAGTAAGTTTACGACTAGATTTTATGTTTCGTTAAACCGTTATTTATCATCCTCGTGATACACATCCAAACATTCAAACATCCAATCAAATTATTGATAAGTGGTCGAGTAAACGTTTGAATTTATTTTTGTAAAATGTTTTCTAGTTTAAAATGTAACTTAATTGATTGATTTTTCATCAGGTTTACAATTATTAGAGTTAACCTACGATAATTGTCGCAATCAATATCAAATTATATTTCAGATTAATATAAATGGTTATAAAAGTATCCAAGATAAAATAATATCGGTGTTAAATCAATAAATCAAGTCTATATATACCTAAATTTATTGACATTAAATATCATAAACGAGTTAGATATCTGGGTTTGAATGTTTGATAATAATTTTTAAGTCTCTATGAAATTAACCATTGACATGTGAAAAATATGTACCCATCAAATATAAAAAGTATACAAATACTTAACGAATCATTACAGAGTTAGACTATAATATTTAAAGCTCATTATTCATATCAGGTGATCAAGAACTTGTAATCTTACCGCAATGAAAATTGGATGGTGTATTTATTATAAAGTATACAAGTGGACATTTTTAGATATTATATTTTATCAACCACTCGAGTCACTTTTGTCTAATTTTACAAACATAACAAACTTCATTAATTTAATATGGATGCGTATAAACTCAGTGAAACATGGACATTGTTTAGTGGCTAATATCAAAGCGTAATACGTAATACAATATTCAAGAACGGTTTAAAAATCAAAATATCGTGACGGCGGTCGGGCGGAATTGTCGCCGGGCGCGCATGTATAACTTATCTCAAAGTTTGTCGGGTGAGACAATAACATATATTATTACACACACACATATACAATATATATATTATATATATATATATATATATATATATTATGCCGAACGAGTGGCGTGCACGCGTTATTATAAATATACGTACACGCGATAAATCCTGAGAGGAAGCGGACGGAGAGGAAGAGAATTGTGTACGAGTATAGGAGAGAGAAAGAGTACATTATATAAGAGAAAGAATGACGGCGACGACGACAGAGGAAGTCGATGAAACGGAAACTGGCGAGCGTCGCGTGCGTACAGTATTAGGCTGCAGCTCTATAATATGTACGGCTGTGGGTCTGTTGTGGGTACGGCGGTGTGGGTGTGGGGGTATTTATAATAAAATAGTGCTCAGACGGTGGTGATGGTGATGGGTGTACACGGGTGGGAGGGGGTGAGAGGAGTGTTAACAACTCGTACCCGTTCGCCGCGTTTGGGGTTAAGTCAGCACGTGATCGGCGTGGAGATGTCCTCTTAAACCCACCCCCGGCCACCCAACACGCGGTGACCCCGACCCACCGCGACCATTATTATACGCGCTGCTGTACGGTACGCCGACGACATTATTGTCAACAACGCCGACCGACTGCGCGCTATCCTCCTTGAATGTTAATTAGTGTTAAATTGCGACAGGATTCGCGCGGGGGCGTACGCTAAGGATCGAAACGATAATAACGCGCGCCGCGTCGTCGCCGTATCAGCCACTAATGATGACGAGCCTGTAAACCGTACAAGTAAGTATTACCGTACACAGTTGGTTACCTTTGTTATTCATGCATCCGGGTAGCATCAGTCCACCGTCCACGGGGTCGAGGAGGAGTTTGGTAGTGCCGCCGGACGTCATTCTCGGCGACAGACCGCCGCCTCCGGCCGCGCTCACCACTGAAGCACCGAGCACGCCTTCCCTGGCCACGTCCTGCAGCGCCGTGGCCGCCCTGGAATCGGCGCCGGCCGGCTGTAGTATGGTGTACTGCTTGGACAGCGGGCTGGGCGAGTCCATCTTGATGGCGGCCCCGTCCGCCTTGCAGTCGCCCGCGCCACCACTGCACCCGTCGTCTTCCAGTTTCACGCAAACCGGCTTGACCGGGGTCACTGGACCGACGCCGGTGACGCCGCCACCACCGACCACTGCGTTTCCACCGGCCAACATATGTTTGACCGTTGAACCGTGACCACCCCCACCCGCAGCCGAGACGCTGACGCCGTTGGAGACGAGCCCGCCACCGGGTCCGGTGTAACCGACCACGAAAGTGGCGCCGGCTGGCGGGTACGGTCCCAGCGGAGACATGGCCGCCCCGACAGCTGTGGGCAGGTCCAGGCGGGTTGGGTCTTTGGGCTCACCGACGCCACCGCTGGCCACAGGCCGGAATGCCGAGAACGCTGTCTTGTCCATCAGGTATGCGTCGTACGACGACGATTCGGACTCTGACTTCAGGGAAGTCATCATCTCGTCGGGACGCACGTGGCTGTTGTTGTTTCGGCGGTCCACGTCCATCTTGCGCCGAAGCCGGTCACCGCTGCCGGCGTGACTTCTACTGCGGCCACGGCCACAGCCGCCGCTCTCGTCGTCATCGTCATCTTCGTTGTCGTCTTCGTCATCGCCACCACCACCGCCGTCGCCCTTGTCATCGCCGCCACTGCAGCCGCTTCCGCCCCCACCGCCGTCGGCCGACATGTCGATCTCGAGCTCATCCGATGAATCGTCCACTAGCTCGTTAAAGTCCGGCTCGTACTTGGACGGCGCGTATTTGTCCGGTTTCTTGTTCTGATCGCACTCTTTGTTGTTTTGATCAATCTTGTTGAGCAAAATATGGTCAAGGTCGCGGCGTTGTTGTTGTTGCTGTGCCGTTTTTGAATCACCCGTGTTGTTTTTGTTCTCGTCCACTCTGATGGCCGTCGGTGGCGGTGGAGGCGGCGGGTGTGCGCCGCTAGCACTGCCAATTTTCTTCTCGTCAAACAGATTGACGAACGCCGGTGACTCATACCGGTCGTCGTCATGTCCCGTCCGGTAGAACGAGTGTCGAGCGCCCGGCCACCCACCTGACAGGCTTTTCAGCGCTGCTTCCGTTTCGCGTATCAGGGTCTCGTCATCCACCGCCTCGTCGCCGCTGGCTTTAGCCTGTTTTTTCGGCGTGGCCGCAGCTGTCTGTTGTCCGGCTGCTGTGGTTGCCCCACTGGTCGGCTGACCGGCCAGCGGCCGTTTCTTCGGCAGCACCATTGTCTTTTGCGTGGCAGCCGCGCCGCCGCCTCCGTTGTTGTTGTCTTGCTGCTGCTGCTGTTGTTGTTCGGACGAGCCTTTGTTGTTGTCCTTGTCTGCGGCTACCTCTTGCATCTGTTTTAGTGCCCGTCTTCTTTTCTTGTGCGCAAACGTCTCGTCCACGATGGACTGGGCCTTGTTGCAGGCCACCGTCCCGTCACCCGATGACTTGCGTTTCGACGTCGACCTGTGTACGACGAACATAATAAATTAATAACAATTTTTTTCTAATAGTAGCAAAATAATTATGATATTTTATTTTCACTCCAGCGCGTTTCAACCGGGGCTGTGTTTTTCGGTATAGGTACGTACCGGTTTAATACCGTCAACCAATGGCAGTAGTACGGGTGTTTTGGTATTTAAAGTTGTATTTCCGATAAGTGGTAAAGGAGTTATTAACATGGAGCATATAATAGAGAAAACTATAAAATTCACTCAGTACTACGATAGTTGATAATAAATGTGAACTATTGTCTTTTCCAGACAAAAAATATATTTCACGTCGTGAAATAAAAAATATGTTATATTATATTAAGAAATTCATCGAGATTTCGATGAATATTCCCCAATGTAGGTGCGTCCAAAAGAAAATACACGCATTACAATATATTTTGTTTTTGCTAACTGGTAAAATGTAAAACGCCAGCGAATTATAATCATGTAAGATCGCAAACATGGGCACGAAATAATGTTTACGTTTGTAATTCCCGTTACGTTGGTTCAAAACAATCAATTTAATATTTACGCATTTTCCAATAACGAAACGACGTTGCGTGTATTTTTTTAATTAATGTTATCATTATTATTTATTACCCATCTCCAATTTTAATTGACTGCTGTTCACGATCTCGATCAGTTACTTTTTTTTTTTTTTTTCAATAATTATGTTACGAGGGAAGGAAAAAATACCAATAACGCTCACTTCTCCACCCCTACTTCTCGCCCGCCGTCAATCGGTTGTTTAATTTGCCAAAGATCCGTTTTTCTCGGCTCGTTAAGTATTTTTTTAATTAAAAATCGCTTGCCGACTTTTAAATTAATAAGAAAGAGGAAAAATGTGTATATATAGCTACTTAATAATATCGCGGTGATACGTTCAGAAAGCCTAACGGTGGCGATTGCGGGGTGGTAAGTGCAGGAGGGTGTAGCAATAAGAAATAGTGTATCTACTTTTATATATGTATAGTAAGATACGATATTATTATCAGACAGTGGGTAAAAAGGGTTGTTTGTGAGATATTATGTGCAGAAATCAAATAATAGGCGCCTAACCGGCAATAACAATAAGCAAGAGTGTTATTATGATATGTAGATGCCTATAATGATTGAATCCCTATAATATATAAATAATATAAATTACTTCTATAAATACTACATACATACATACATACATACATACATACATACATGACGTATGCCATAAACGAGTACGTATTTAAAATGTTCGTAAGACGAAAGTCGATAAGTGTATACTATATTATAATTGCAAAGAACATAAATTATTACATGTTTTCAATCCACTTTGATTGTAATAAATTATATCCAAATATTTATAATTTATAAACACTTAACAATAATAAGATGAATATTGATATAGAATAAATATATATATATGTCACAAGAATCATGACCGAAAAACCATAAAAGTAAAGTAGTAGACGGATCGTCTGAAAAAAAGATATGCGATTTGCAATAAAAATACAATACAATTACACGAACTAGCTATTCGATCAACGATTGTTATAAAAATCGTCATAAAGACCGCAATGAAAATTGTATTTTGATTAATACAGTAAGACAAATGATAGTTGACTCAAAACACAACAATAATATTTATGGTCAAATTATTCCGCACTTTTCTGTAGGGTATTAAAAATAATACACTTAATATCCACGTATATGTAAGTGTACCGAAAAACTGATGCATATAATATTGCAGTCACTTTATTGCAAACGCATTGCCTGCTAATCTTATATTATAATAAATACTTAATTTATACTCGTTATTATTAATTACGATGGTCTAAACGTTTTTGGGTTTTGACGTTGTTTATAAGGCATAATTCTTTACAATTTAAAGGTACCATCATATCGTATTATGATTGTACGTATTCATTAAAATAAATACGTTTGGATAATGTTTCGATGGAGCAGGGTTCCGGACGCGAATAGTAATAATTATTCGTACACGATAACGATAAACTTATACAACCGTGTATCACACGATATTATATAATATTATTATATACGCGGTCCCTGAGTCGTTTCGATAATGCTGACAAATCGGTCTTGCTACAGGTCTGGTGTGTATGTTTCCACCATCACCGTCGTTATTATTACGATTATTGTGGGCCAGGGACGTATATAATAATATAATACCGTATTATACACGAAAAACGCGTTCTGCCGCATAGCGCTCATCGGGAGGGGAAACGAAAGCAGCGGGCTTATAGTCAGTCGTGCTTTCGCTGCGGAAAGAGCAAGTCCCTCGTCGGTCGGCCCTCGCTCCGCGTGACATAACCACGTGCGATGTTTTTCCTGGACCGCATAATAATAATATAACATGGTATCACGTCGAACGAAAAAAAAAATGAATTTTTTATGGCCGTCGCATCACGAGCGCGGACCCCATCGCAGGCAAAAAGTTTTTCAAATCTCTAGACATCCCAACACCCCTCCCCTACATCACGATATATTATTAATTTCAGTTAAATGAAAAAAAAATTAAATAACAACAATCGACTTCTTCCAAACTCCCTCGAAGCGCTAGATTGTAAAATAAATTTGTAAAATTAATGTATTCATTTATGTTTGATTATATACGTCTCATTTATATAAATACCTACCTATAATTTATATATATATAGAGGTATAAAGTATACATAATATATATTATAAAGTGCATATTATTAGCGAAATCAAAAAACTTTCTTGAGATTGGTAATATGATATTATACAAGAATATGATGACATATTTTTTATTACTCGTTGTTAATTTTGAATATAGAAAATATAAGTAATAATATTTATGGAACGATAAAATAAATACAAATCTATTATATTGACTTATTTTCAGATTTTCCACAATATACTCCTCTTAAAAAAGTTCAAAAGTTTAAAATATTAAAATTATAAACATCTTAAGATATTTTTTACTTTTGCTGACATTTTGTCTATTTATGCACAGTGATCTTTTTAATCTAAATTTCTCAATTTCAAAAAGTATATTAACATTATTAGAATTTTTCTTCTTATGAACTTTTAAGTATATGAAAATTTTTTGAAGGACAATATATATATATATTTTCTTATTATGAAGTAGAATATTTTTTTGAGAATTTTGATGAATAAAAATCAAATTTCAAACTAGTTGTCAATTACTTATTAGTTATAACTAGTTATAAGTATTTTGAGTATTTAAAGTTTAAATAAGCGGAGTGGAGCTTCGTAGGTCATTTAAGTCTTTTTAAAAAATAATGGTTTATATAGTATTTTTTCCAACTCTGTGGACAAACTACAGTTCACATGCATTGTATTTATATTTTTCGGTTTCACGATAATATTTGTAATATTTTGTTTCGTGTACAAAAATAGCTAAAGAAGTCGGGATTATGGGGGTAGTTCTTTTTATTTATACCTCCAGAATGTATACGATAATACTATACTAACGCTGCTGGTTTACATTTCAAAGGAAATGACGTGCGATTAGGTAAACGATCAATTATAATATCAAACATTATTATTACGTTTTATAGGCGGCCGCGGCGTAATTACTACCTACCGGCTGCGAGGTGCACTCGAAACGGGAGAGCTTTCGAAATGTCGGTGAAGACTTGCGTTTCGACGATGGGTCTTTTTCTGTCGTCGTCTATAATTCACTTCAACCGGTAATTTTCGTTACGTAATGTCTTTTTTTGTCGTCATTTAAATAGGCAAGAAAAACGGTTCAATATTTTTTTATTGTTATCGCCGCACAGTCCTATAGTACACACACACATATATATATACACGTATATTATTGCATCATAGAGCAATAATATATAATAATAATATTTAAATGCACACACAACATTCATACACGTATATACCTCTAGGTACCTACCCATAAATTGTACACAGATACCTCACCGACGACGTAGTGTCACGCTAGTAAACACGCCGCCGCCGGTACGGTTTGCTGCGCGACACGACGATTACCTTTAGACATATATACAGGTGTGGTGCAGCGCCTGCCGCCGAGTGCATGTCAACACTACATTAACAGACGGCGGCGGCGGCAATGATCATTCGAAACGGTCCTCCCGCCCACCCGATACCCACCCGGAACGGCATTTCGTATCCTATTATTAACCTATTACCGTCATGACGTTTTAATTCCAAAGTCACGACAGCGACTTATCGCTCATACCTACCTCCGCGGTGAAAAAACAAAAATCGTACAACCGGCAAACACGACGTGCATACGACCTACCCCCAACCCCTAAACGACCAACGTCAAGTATATTATTATATAATTATTACGTTCTACGACGAATTGAACTCGCAAAAATATCGCCGAGCATGAATGAGTTATTGCGTAAAGCGGGGTCCTATTATTATAATATGTGCACTAGCTGTCGGCGGTGTCGGCGTTTCGACGGGGGACGGGTTTGGTGGGTGATTCAAAATATTGTTCGCACTTGAGCAAAGCTTGTCTCGAAAACTCTCAAGCAGAAGTGTAACCAGGATTTTTCTTGGGGGTGTTTTAATTTTATATTTAATAATATCAAATATGAAATATAACCTTATAATATGATCCTATTATTTTTGGGAAATCTGAAGCCCCGAGCCTCCGCAACACCCCTTTCAACACCCAAAACACACGTCGGACTACGGCACTACAGTTTAAGCATAGATACCTAACCGGACTTCATCATCTCAATATACAACAAGCAGGACGTATCATCGGAAAGATTTTAATAACAATAAATAGGTGCTAAAAATCAGTAGTGCTGTATCATATACTATATACATTCTTAAATATCGAACACAGTCCCAAAAATATTTCCAGCAGACGAGGCGAACTTAGCCGTATGGAAACCGAATGACGATATTAACAGATATCGACCAGTATAATATATATACTAAAACACAGTTAAACTAAAATATGCGAACATGTTGACTGTACTTTTGTATCTACCGAAATCA